TTAAGCAAAACAAAGTGGCCCACTGACTGCATTTCATTGCTTCTTAAGGAGCTACAGTGGGACAGCAACAGTGGAAGGAACATGGGCCTGATGGTGAAGAGATCCCGATTCAAGTCCTTTGAATATTAATGTAAATAAAAGCTCTGAAACAGGGGAAGGACAAGTGGAAGGACTATATTAAGATAGCCAATCAGATGTAGTTACTAGAAAACATAATCACTTGCCCTTTGGCCAAAATAATTAGGGCACCAGCTTCTCTCTCTCTCTCTCTCTCTCTCTCTTCCTAGTACTCTTCCCTTGGCCCCAACTCTGAGAAGAATAGCATGAACTACCCCCCCCGCCCCAAGCTCATAAAAACACAACTGGGAGAAATTACTTAAAATATACTGGTAGACAAATTTCATAAGAGATATTAAAAGGACTCATACCTTTCACTACCTCTGCAACTCAATTCTTCTATTTCAAAGGGATAGGATGGCACATCTACTATCTTCCTGCTTCAGCCAGAATTCCTGAGAAAATGCTGTAACAAGGAGAACAGAGTTGTTTTTCTAGAAAGCTTTCAAGAGGCCTTATACAACAACCTAAGGATTCCATTCTGAGTTCTAAAATCCCTTCTCTCTTTTGCCTACTTCCAACAGCCTTAGGAAACTATAGAAAAGGAAAATGAGGGGCAGCTAGGTGGCATAGTGGATAGAGCACTGGCCCTGAAATCAGGAGGACCTGAGTTCAAATTCGGCCTCAGACCAAACACTTGACACTTACTAGATGTGTGACCCTGGGCAAGTCACTTAACCCCAATTGCCTTTAAAAAAAAAAGGAAATGCAAATATAATACTTTTTCCTTTACCTGTTTGGGGAATGATTTAAAGCATTTATTAAGCACTTACTACATACTAGGCAGTGGGAACTCAAGTACAAGAGTGTGAGAATCCCTGCCCTTGTATGTCACAGGGGTGAGGGAAGGTACCCAAGAGCTAAGTGACACTCCTCTTTCCAGTGGCAATGGCATTGATTTGATTACTGTTTCCAAAGGAAGAGGGGGTCCCAGTGGACAAGTTTTGCCAATGGACAATCACCAGCTTCACAACAGTGGGGCGCTTGTACCCTAGTTCAGTATTATCTATAACCCCAATCTTTGAGCTACAAAGTCATTGAGACAAAGTTGCATAGTAGAAGACTTAGGTCCCTGTCCTACTTCTATTATTCATTAGTCATAACTCTAAGTAAACCCCAATTTCCAGCTTGTTTATGAAATAGGAAAACCATCCTCCATACCTCACCGGATTATTGCTGGAAGCAAATAAGATAATGAATGTTACAAACACCTTGTAAGTTGTGATGCCCTACACAAATGCAAGCTATTAAATTCAAGCAAAAGGCCCACAAATAAAAGTAAAGGGATGAAGTATAAGCCAAGTGCAGTACTTCCCTCCCTGCCTTTCTGTGAAGTCTCTAGAGGCAGGGACATTATAACCATTAACTGCTTTTAATAGTAAGTAAATAGCCTTCATCTGAAAACGGGGAAAGGCTCGTTTATAAATCTTTCTCATAAGACGAAAGGAATCCTCCCATTCCCAGAATCCTGCCTTTCAGTTTACACTGCTTCCAATCACTTCTGTGACCCTATTCTGTCCCTTCACTTGCCACCTGTCCACCCCCATCTTAACACTTCAATATGCCACCCCCACTCTCTGTTCCACAGCCTCCCAAATGGAACCTCAGAAACAGGTTCCTTTTCTATTTTTATCCTACTTCAGAAAACCCACTGCTGTAGAGCACAAAGATGGTTTTTATCCAGGGAACCAAAACAATGTAGCACCTGACACACCAAAACCCCACGCTTATTGTAAGGGCTATCAGCTTGCTGGCAAAAGTTAAGCCATTGAACTGCCAGGAGCAGCCAAGGGAGAAACAGAAACAGAAACAAAAGAGGACATCATTCTCCCATATTGCATGACTTCCAGATTGGACTACATAAAGTTACAGCACAAATTTCTAACCTCTTCAACTTGATAATGCATTCATCATGTTTGATTTCTGAGACACCTCCCATTTTCATCAAAAACAAATAAACCAAAAAATTGTCCCACAGCATGTACTTGAAATGGAATGCTTCAAAACATGGTCATTTTGTCAGTTTTGCTTAACTTTTTTGTTGTTACAAAGGAGCGCTCAGTGAGGGGGAAGGCACCATAGAGTTAAAGCTGGAAGGGACCTTTGGGGCTATTTATCTAAACTTATTTTACAGATGAAATTTACATGATGAAATGACAGCTGTAAAAGAGCAAAAGGAATTATTAAAACTTTTAAAAGAAATTAATGCTTTCAAGAGCCAATTAAGAAAACGCACAATGACTACAGCAATGTAAGATCATTACTAAAAAGCAACAAAATTCAGGCTAAATTCATAGATAATATTGGTACCAAATTAATACAGTTAAAGAACACACCTTTCCTTCTGTTATCAGCAATAAACTACAAAAGTGAAAAGTGATCTATATACCATCAATCACAATCACCATCAGACTTTTGTTTAATTGTTGGGGGAACAGGGAGGCAAAGAGGCTGTCTGTTGCATCAAAACAGAATCAAGGAATAAAAATATTTTTTAAAGAAATGAATGCTTTATACTGTAAAGCACTTTACAAATACCAACTCATCTAATGCTTACAATTCTTTTGGGGCAGGTTATAGTTATCGCCTGCATGATGTTGGGCAATCCACTTAACATAGTTGGGCCTCATTTTCCTCACCTGTAAAATGAAAAAATTGGACTAAGATCCCTTCTGGCACTAAAATCCTACATTCTTAAGCATCATTACACTATTTTATAGAAAAGAAACCTGAGAAATGACTTACCCAAGGGCACACAACTAGTCTTAATTTCAGATTATACACTTAAGAGGTGGGAAGAGATCCACTTAAAGGTGGCCCTAAGACAAGTCACTGGCCCAGGGTACCACGACTAATAAATTACAGACCAGAAGATCAAGTTCAGCGCTTCTTTCACTCCCTGATGTCAAGGGAAGGTATCCTCCTGCTCAAAACTCTCCCTACAGCAGAGGCCATCATTACTCTTCTAGGCACTGAAGTAAAGACTAACCTAACCATGGATAGACAAAGAGGGCATGAACCACTTCCCCCAAAGCAGCCACAGCCCAAAGAAGGGCCCCAGCCCACCTCTCTACGTGGCTTAATCAGGAAGTTAGAGCTAGAAAGGCCCTCAGAGACTATACCAGGGGTAGGGAGCCTACAGCCTCAAGGCCACAGGTGGCTCTCTAGGTCAAGTGCAGCCCTTTGACTTCAAACTTCACAGAAGAAATACCTTTAATAAAAGGATTTGTTCTGTAAAACTTAGACTCAGTCAAAAGGCTGAATCCAAGGACCTAGAAGGCCACATGTGCCCTTGAGGCCGAAGGTTCCCCATCCTGATTCTTCTAGTCCATCCCAATCATTTTACAGATAAGGAAACTAATATTCAAAACCCCAGGTTAAGTGACTTGTCCAAGATCACATAGGAACTAAACGTCAGAGGCAGGATTTGAATCCAGGTCATCCAGACTCCAGAGCCAATGATCTTTCCACAGTACCCTAATAATTCATATATTCATATTCATATATGGTTGGAAAGGAAGGCACCAAAGATCCACACATGCACCCCATCTTGAGAGGTATGCTAGGGCCAACAGAATCAGCCACTCCTTTCTGGGGGTGGAATGGGGTTTCTTGGCATCAACCTCTCAATTCTGGGGGCAGAAGGGACAAGAGCCTCTCCAACCCGAGGGGCAGACAGAGGCAGGAGACATCAGGCAGGGGCCTAGGACATTTGCCTGCAGCTCTAGGGGTGAAGGCAGGCAGGGGCATTAGGCCCCCACCTCTGGGAAGCTGGAAGAGCCTGACATATCAGCCCCCCATCTCTGGAGGGTAAAGCAGGCTGAGGCATCAGCCTCCCACCGCTGAGAGGAGCCTAGAACATCAGTTCCCGCAGCTCTGGGGAGAGGCAGGGGCATCAGCCCCGCCAGCTTTAGAGGGCGGAAGCAGACAGGGGCATCAGCCCCCTCATCTCTGGGGGCTGGGGTGGGTACGGGCATCAGCTCTCCACCTCTAGGAGGCAGGACGGAGCCTGAGACATCAGCCACCTATCTCTGCGGGGTAAAAAGGGCAGGGGCACCAGTCCCCCCAGCCTTGGAGAGCGGAGGCGGACAGGGGCATTAGCCCCCTCATCTCTGGGGACTGGGGGGGCAGAGGCAACAGCCCCCCAGCGCTAGGAGGCAGGAAGGAGCCTGGGACATCAGCCGTCTATCTCTGGGGGGTAAAGAACGCTGGGTGACATCAGCGCCCTCTCCCCGAGGGGCTGAAACCGGCCACCGGTTGCTCTCTATCCCCCGCCTCCCGGGGTCTGGGCCTCCCGCTCCCGCCCCCGCCAGACTCCACTGAGGCCCCCGGACTGCCGGGCGCTGCCTCCTCCCCCCGACCCCGGGGGTCAGCACCCCCTCGCCGCTCTTCACCTCACGAAGCCGGGGCGGGCAAGCTCGGTTCACATAGGCCGCAGCGCCATCTTACCGCTCGCCCGAGCCCCGGCCTCGCCCACCCGCGAGGTAGCCCCAGGGCCAACGCCGGCGAGGGGGTGGGGATGTAGGGGCCAAGGGCAGGGAAGGCGAGCTGCGACTAGGGGAAGGGGCGGGCCCCAGGTGATTGGCAGGAAGCCGCCCCGCCTCCTAGAGAGACCGCCTGGGCCGTGCGCAGACTCAGAGGCTGCTTCCCTCCCCACCTTTCCCCAGCGCCGCCAGCCTCCGCCTCCTCAATCCCTCTCCTCCCCAGCCCTACCTCCTCTCTAGGCTGGCGACGAAGGACGAGAAAAGGATTATCGACGTGCTCCGTTTCGGCTGCTCCGGCCTGCCTCGGGCCAAAGCCGGAAGAATGGTCCCAAGCAACGCGAGAAGGTCCGGGAGCCCAGATGATGCAACCCGGCGAGGGCTCCACGTGATTGTTCCGGGTGCTCACGGTGCCGGCGCCTGCTTCGGTTGGGGAAGGGGCGCAAGCGCGGGCAGGAGGCAGGAGGCGGGGCGCGCTGACTGGGGTCTTCTTCGTTCTCCCAGCCCTCAGCGTAGTCCACAATGGGGGACGCGCCGACCCCGGAGGAGAAACTACATCTCATCACTCGCAACCTGCAGGTAGCTTCCCCCCACGACTTCCGGGCACGCAGACCCTCCCCCGTGGGAGACCTTGCCCGGCCCCCTCCCCCACCCGAGACCTTGCCAGTTCTTAGCACAGTGCCTGGTATATAGTAAGGCAATATAAAATCCATATTCCTTTTCATAGGAGACCCTGCTTGGCCCCCTCCCCAATGAAGAGTACCCATCTTTTGCCCCTTTTTTCACTTTTTAGAGATTTTGCTCATCTTTTCCCTTGGAGGGGCGGTGGGAGTCCCTTTCCATCTCTTCCACTGGATACTTTTCTCATACTCTCCCCTCGAGTCCTTTCCATCCTACTGCATGGGGTCCTTCCCCTCATGGGATGATAGATCCAGAACTGAAAGTAGTTTCAGAAGTCATCAATTCCAGTCTCATTTTACAGATGAGGACTCTGGGGCCTAGAAAGGTTGAATGACTTGGCTAAAGTCACACAGGTAGTAGTAAGTGGTAGAGGCCAGATTCCAACTTCTTCCCCCTCCCATCAAATGAGGGTTCTGTGCCCATCTCGGCACCCACAGGGTCCCTCCTCGTTGTGGTGTCCACCTTTCACCCTCAGTGGACTTCTTTTGTACCCTACCTACATCCGTCACTCTCCGCCATCTCCCACCATGCACATCCTCCTGAACTGGTAGAGTTTAATGCCCTCCCCACCCCCCATGAAGAAACTGGTCCTCACCAATTTCTTGTTCTGCAACAGGAGGTCCTTGGTGAAGAAAAACTGAAAGAGATCCTGAAGGAGAGGGAACTGAAAGTTTACTGGGGGACTGCAACCACAGGCAAGCCACACGTGGCCTACTTTGTACCGATGTCAAAGATCGCTGACTTCCTGAAAGCAGGATGTGAGGTGAGAGCAGTCACCCCGACCAAGGCTTTGGGCTTAGGGAATGGCCAAGAGATATGAGATAGCCTTCTCAATGTTGTTGTGATAGGCAGTAAACTACAGAATGTCTGACATGGGGGAACATCTCAGCCACACTTCTTCTTTGTTTCTTTCTCTCCAGGTGACAATCCTCTTTGCAGATCTTCATGCATACCTGGACAATATGAAGGCTCCGTGGGAGCTTCTGGAACTACGGACCTCCTACTATGAAAATGTGATCAAGGCCATGCTGGAGAGTATTGGGGTTTCTCTGGAGAAGCTAAAATTTGTCAAAGGCACTGATTACCAACTCAGCAAGTGAGTGTTGGTGCCTTCCCAACCTTTAATCCTCACCCCACCTAGCCACCTTTCTGCTACTTGCTTCTTCATTGCAGTGATATCTTTGTCTAATTAGGGGGCTATGGAGCCTAGATGCTCTGTAAGTATAGGGTTGGAAGGTACTTTATTGTTGGATTTTTTAAAGTCTGTCAGCCCTTCCTTCACCTACCCAATAGTTCCCATATGGCTGTAGTTGTATATTTGTTTTTTTACAGCTCTTTTATGCCTGAGCCTTGATTTGTTTAAGACTTGGTCTCTTTTCAGGCTGTGGTTAAGGAACATGTAAAGCTGATTTAACAAGGCAGCAGATCTCATAGCAGCTCATAATATGGCAGGCCTTGGGTCTCTGATCCTATTAAAGGTCCTAGATCATATGATCATTTTCTGGGGTGAAGGAAAGGAGATTATTTATCAGTGGGTTTTTCGAGGCCTAGTTATGTCGTGGGTTGAAGGAGGAGGTCAAGGATGGGATTTGTCTATTTATTGATCTTCATGTCTTTTTTCCTTTTCAGGGAGTACTCACTGGATGTTTACAGACTGTCCTCGATGGTCACCCAACATGATGCAAAGAAAGCTGGGGCTGAAGTAGTGAAACAGGTGGAACACCCTTTATTGAGTGGTCTGCTGTACCCAGGACTACAGGTACTTGGAGGAATAGAGGGGGGGCAGATTATTTCCTTAAAACACTGCTTTCTTGGTGAAAAACCTTCAGTGGTGAGTCACTGCCTACAAGATGAAGCCCATTCCGCTTAGTCCAAGATTTCACAGTCCTCTAGAGTCTGGCCCCAGGTTACCTTTCAGGCTTTATCTCCCATTACTTCTCAACAAGTCTAGTGCTTACCCACCTTTGTTCATGCCATTTGAGCAAGGTATTTCACACTAGAAGGGCCAAGCACACCAACTGATGCAAAAATGTTATTATAATTTTACTTGGAAATAAAAAATGTTCATCTCATATTTTCTTTGCTTTATGATTTAAAAAATGCACTGTGTTGTTTGACACAGCTTGGTCTTTTAAGGTATTCTTAAATTCCATTTCTTCTAGTGTTACTGTTAGAAGTTGGCCCTAACCTTTCTTTCTAACCTTATTATCCGTTCTGCACCTTCCCCCACTCTACAGTCTGACCAGATTGGCCATCTTACCTAATTCTTACACGTAATATTCTAAGTGTCTACCTTTCCTCTGCCCCCAGCTTCCCTGTGATTCACTCTGTCCTCACTTAGGACTCTTAGAATCTGCCTTTTCTTTTACAACTCAGTTCTGGCGCTGCCTCCTTCTCAAAGCCTGTTCTATCCCCTGAGCTGCTGTTCTCTTCCCTTCCTCTCCCCCCACCCCAAAAAATTATCTCCTCTTTATTTTGTATATACTGAGATTAGATATGTATACTCCTACTCTCTCTCTGTCTCATGCTGTCTCTCCCAGTAGGGCTTGAGGGTAAGGACTTTTCAGTTTGATTTGGTTTGTGTTTCTGCTCCCAGTCCTTAGTTCAGCATTTGGCATGTAGCAGGTGCTTAGTAAATGCTTATTGATTGAGGTGTGGAAATATGAAAAAGTATATAAAGGCAAGTGATGAGAAATAAATTTGGAAAGGAGGGCTGGAATCAGAAACTCAGAGCTGAAAGACTCTTCTGTGGTCATACAGGCCCACTTCCTCCCACAACAGAACACTGCTTTTGAATAGTAGATTTAATTATCACAAAGGTTTCCCTTCAAGGCCGAATAAATTTGCCACTTTGTAATGTCCAGCCATTGGCCCCAAGTCTGCCCTCTAGAGGCCAGAAAGAGTCCAGTCTCTCTTCCATACAACAACTGGTAAGAGATCTGAAGCAGCCATCCTGATTCACCCCAGTCACTTCATATGGTCCTCATAGGTCATGATCTTGAGAGGCCTTTTACCATCCCAAGTACCCTCCACCAAAAACCCTCCCCTTATTGATGTACTTCCCAAAATGTGGCCTCTAGGACTGAGTTTTATTATACTGACCCAGGGTAGACTATAGTAAAGCTACTACTGTATTCGTCCTGGATGTTATCTGCCTTTCTTAATGCAACATAGGACAGCATGTGCCCTTTTTGGCTGTCATGTCACGTGGTTTATTCATTTGAACTTAGTAGGCAACTAAAAACTGCCGAAAGTGACACAGTAGAAGGGGCACTGGATTTGGACCCAGAGGCCCTGGACCCAGTCCTTGGCAAATCAGTGCCCCTCCCTGGGCCTTGACATCCTAAATGGTAAAATGAGGGTGTTGGAACTGGTGAAGGGGAAGGGATTGAGACCAGGGATGGGGAACATGTAGCCCTCTAGGTCCTAAAGGGCAGCCCTTTGACTGAATCCAAACTTGACAGAACAGATCCCCTTAGTAAAAGGATTTCTTCTATAAAACTGGACCTAGAAGGCCAGATGGGGCCTTAAGGCTTCAGGTTCGACACCCCTGGAATATGCATTTATATAGAGTACCTCCTAAGTGCCAGGCCCTCTGCTAAGCACTTTTACAAATATTGTCTCATTTGGTGTCTCATTTGGTAATATTTCATTACCTTTTAAGCCCCTTCCAACTTTAAATCTATAATCCCATGAAATCTTTTTCAAATGAACCACTGTTGTGGATAGAGCACTGGCCCTGGATTCAGGAGGACCTGAGTTCAAATCCGGCCTCAGACACATCACACTTACTAGCTGTGTGACCCTGGGCAAGTCACTTGACCCCATTGCCTAAAATAACAACAACAACAACAACCCACAAATGAACCACTGTTTAGCCATGTCTCTATCTTATTTAGTTCTGCCCATTTTTGTAGCCTGTTGAGATTTGTTCGAATACGGACTTCATTCATCCAGTGTTTTAGCTGCCTCTTCTAGCAAATTGGATGAGCGTGCCATCTCTCCCTTAAAGTTGTCACTAACATTGTAAAATACACAGGGCCAAGTGCAGAACCTTGGGGCACCCCACTAGACCTCCTTACAAGGTGACATCAACTAAACTTTGACAGTTCCCAGAATCCCCTGATTGTATATTATCTCTCTGGCCCATTTCCCTGCATCTTTTCCACAGGCCTTTGTCAATGCTTAACTACAGCCTTTGCCTCATTGTCTAGATTGTTGCTGTGGTGGTGGTTTGTTCTTCGTTCTCGAAGAAGACATGGCATCAGGGAGTGATGCCATGACATGCAAGTGAATTGGATTTAAGTGAGGCAGGGCTGTGCAAGGTCACCAGCCTCACCTTTCTCCTCCAGAGCCATCTGGGTCCAGTGGCCGTTTATAGATCAGGACGACTGAAGAGGGCCCTGTCAGAAAAGGAAATTAGGGTAATCTTGTATGACCTGGATCTCTGGTCCATTGTTTCTTTTTCTAGCTGTTTCCTAATCCTTTAATAATACATCTCAGAGTCTTGCCAGGAATTGAAGTCAGACTTTCTGGCTTATCATTAGTGAATTCTATCCTCTTGCCTTTTTTGAAAAATCAGGACATTTGTGCTTCTCCAATCCTGCAGTCTCTCTCCTGTTCACCTTGATTTTCAAAGTAGATCACTGACTGGCTCAGCAATTACACCTGCAGATTCTCACCCAAGGATGTAGTCCACGTGGCTCTGATGACTTGAACTCATCAACAGCAATTAGGTGTTCTCTTACTATCCGTCTGTTTATCTGGGGTATCAGTTCCGTATTAGTCATTTTAGTTCTGTCTTTTCCAATGCAAAGATCATTCTACTTGACCGAGTGAAAACGCAGCTACTCTGCCTGTTCCTGCCGGTCCTCTCTTCTCCAGTCCAGTCCCACAAACGTTTATTAAGTGCATTTTGTGTGCTAGGCCAGCCTGGGCTCTGGCGAGATAAAGACCACCTATGAAACAACCTCTGCCTGCCTTTTACCAGGGGCTGAAGGGGAATAAAATATGTAAAGTGTTCTGTATACAAGTGATGTTTCGACGAGATCAGGAATCAAAAAAGACTCCCTGTGGGAGCTAGCACTGAGCTGAGGGGAGGAGAGAGAGCATTTAAGGGCTGGAAGCAGTAGATGAGCTTGTCCACCCCGCGCAGTTCTTCCATCGTTCTTTTCCCCGCTGTGGCTTTAAAAATCTTTTGATTGGTCTTAGCATTCCTCCACAGCCCAGTTCATTCTGAATCTGAACACTGCTGACACTCTTCTCAGAGGACTGTTATGCTTTTGTGTTTATTTGTTGCTAACTCTTGCTTCTTTTTCATGTCTTTGTCTCTACAAGTTCCTGTGTATCTATATCAGTCTCTTGAGAAAACTCCCATTTCGCTCTTGTCAGAATAATTTCTCTTCATGTCTTCTGATTTGTGCTCATGTCAGCTTTCCATCCCTTTTAGGCCAACTTCCCCTGTAAAATTTTAGTCTTATCCATTATTTTTTCTTATACCTTTTGAAATCTGTTCTCCTAAAACCTGTGCTGGAAGTCATACCCTACCCATCTCTACCCTTTTTTTTTTTAAGGCAGTTGGGGTTAAGTGACTTGCCCAGGGTCACACAGCTAGTAAGTGTCAAGTGTTTGGTCTGAGTCCGGATTTGAACTCAGGTCCTCCTGATTTCAGGGCCTGTGCTCTATCCACTTCACCACCTAGCTGCCCGCCATCTCTACTCTTATCAGAAATTCAAAGATACAATAGTCATTTCCCATCTCTTCCATCCCAGCAACTACTTCCTTGTTAATAAGACTCTTCTACCCAGTTCCTCTTATTGCCTTCTCCACCTTTCTAAGGATGAGATTATCATCAAGACAACTCAGATTATTAATTAATCTGCTCTAGTCAAAGAGAGCTTCAGCAGTTGGCCAGGTTGAGTTTCCCCATCACTCCTCCATTGTGCCTCTAAGCCAGTCTTGTTTCCCAAACTTTTCATCTAGTTTTTCTTTCAAACCATATGATTTATAGTAAATTCTGATTACAATATTGCTTCTGCGTCCACCCCATTGATCTTTCAACCAAATGCTCCTCCCAGTATGCTTCCCCTTTGACTCTTGTTTCCTGATTTCCTCACTTAAGTATTTATGTTTTAAATAGGCAAGGCTAATCTATTACCCATGCCTTTTTAAAAAACCATCCTGTTTTTTAATATGGTGTACCTTCCCAGAGCCAAGTTATAGTCACAAATTTCATGCTGCTAAGTCTCAGTGATGCCTACATGGGCAAATTTGACCCTTTGACTTCAGATCTCTTGTTTACCTTGTTTATTGGCCATAGTTTGTGTATTAGGGAGCCAGCATAGGCACACGTGGGCCACTATATATAGTTGCTTTAAACCAAGCTTCACATCCCATCCAATCTGTTTACTCCTAGATGTCTTGCCATCCACCATCCCTGTGATTTACCAGATGCCACAACTGCCTTCTATGTATTATCTCCCTCTACCAGAATGTAAGCTCTTTGAAGGGAGAGACTGTCTTTTGTGTCTTCATCCGTCATACTTAACACAATACGTGGTACCTAGTAAGGATTACTAAATGTTTTTTGTTCATTTATATATACACATATATCATGAGTCTTATTATTATCTCCTTTTTTGGATTTTGTGACTCTACGGCTAATCTTTCTGTTTTGTAGCTGCTCTCAGGGCACCTCTAAGAGACCTTGGTGAATGTGTTTAGGCAGTTAATTAGATTTGCAAGACTCCAGACAAATATATATATTTTTTAGTTTTAAATTTATTTTTAGCCTTTTTTAAAGAAATTTGAGTTTGAAATTCTCTCCCTTCAGCCTCTCCCCCAACCGCTAAGAAGGTAAACAATATGATACCCATTATACAGATAAAATCATGAAAAACATTTCCATACTAGCTAAGTCACCCCCCCAAAAAAAGTGAGAAAATGATACTTCAGTTTGCACTTAGAGTTAATCAGTTCTATCTCTGGAGGTGGGATAGCATCATCATCAGTCCTTCCAAATTGCCTGGATCATTGCCTTGATCAGAGTAGCTAAGTTTTTCACAGTGGATCAGCATTACAATATTATTATTACTGTATACAATGGTCTCTTGGTTCTGAAAAGTTTGTATAGGTCTTCCCAGGTTTTTCTGGAATCATCCCCCCTCATAATTTTTTTCTTTTTTTTTTTCCCTTTTTTTTGGGGGGTGAGTCAATCAGGGTTAAGAGACTTGCCTAGGGTCACACAGCTATCGAGTGTCATGTGTCTGAGACCAGATTTGAACTCAACTCCTCCTGACTCCAAGGCTGGAGCTCTATCCACTGTACCACCCAGCTGCCCCTCCCTCATCATTTCATATAACTCAATAGTATTCCATCACAATCCTGTATCACAACTTAAGCCATTCCCCAATTAATGGGCATCCCCTCAATTTCCAATTCTTGCCACCACAAAAAGAGCTGCTATAAATATTTTTATGCAGATAGATCCTTTTCCCATTTTTGTGATCTCTTTGGGATATAGACCTAGTAGTGGTATTGCTGGATCAAAGTTTTATAGCCCTCTGGGCATAGTTCCAAATTGTTCTCCAGAATGGTTGGACCAGTTCACAACTCCACAAATAATGCATTAGTGTACCTATTTTCCCTCATCCCTTCTAGCATTCATCATTTCTGATAGAAGTGATAAAACCTCAGGGTTGTTTTAATTTGCATTTCTCTGATCAATAGTGATTTAGAGATTCTTTTCATATGACTATAGATAGCTTTGATTTCTTCTGAAAAGTCAGGCAAAAATGTTCTTACTGGCCCTTGTTAGATGCATTCATCTCTGACCAAAAGCGTGCTCTTTGGAGCTGTGATTCAGAAATTCAAATCCTGTTTTCAGATACCATCTTCTTAGGCAGCTCCTCACCTCTCAAAACTGCCTTTCCTTTTGAAAACTCTTGCTTTGAATGAGGAAGGATTGAAGATGCCATGTGGCCAGCACTTAAGGGCTTCCATTTCTTGGCCAGTGCTTGATATCTTTAACAATGCTTTCTAGATCCTCCTACTAGTGTCATCTCTGTCCATGTGAATCACCATCTGGTTTGATATCATAAATGGGTAGTTCTTTTGTCATGTTGTCGACCAGAGGTATCAAACTTGGAAGTCCATCCGGAGTAATTTTACCAGTTACATGTAAAAATATAATTCAGCCTAAATATTGTTAATCTGTGGTTTTCAAAGTTAGTATATGACTTGCAGGGATCCTTTTCTATTTGAGATTAACTCAGCTGTTGTAAATGCATCCCCTGGGAAGCCAGATGACTATGGAAAGTCTTAAATAACATGCTTAGAAGTTTGTATTTTATCCTCTAGGCAGTAGGAAGCCATAAGGCTTCCAAACCTTGAACAGATCTTGAGCATTTTCTGCTGAAATTAATTGGGTTATATTGAAGTGAATGAGAAGTGGTAGTACAAGAGAGTGGTGGGCCAAGCTTACCCAGCTGATCTAAATGCCTCCACCTGGAATTGGGGGGTGGGGGAGGCAAGCATCGGCTCCAGGAATCGACTACTAACTACCTTGTCTTCCTTCCGTTCTGTGAATGTTTGTTGATTAGTACATCAGGGCAACTGAATATTGTCATGTTGTCTATTTCTTGACCTCTGGTAGGCTTCTGTTCTCTCAGAAAGAAAACTGTGCTCTCCTTTCTTCTCTCCACAGGCCCTAGATGAGGAATATCTGAAAGTAGATGCCCAGTTTGGAGGAGTTGATCAGAGGAAGATTTTTACCTTTGCAGAAAAGGTGAGTTCCAGTTTGGGGCCTTAGGTTTCAGTGGAATATTTATTTTCCTCTATGCATTGCTACAGACCCACCACCAACAGGGCCTTGGCCATCCTATGAGGTATAGTTCTTATTTTTATTTCCCAGAAGAATGAATCCCCCCTGCCCTGCATCTGGGCCTGATGATATTTCAGTGAGGTGGAAATAGTTTGTCCACCTTATTAAAGACAGCTCAATGTATTAGAAAGAGTATTGCACTAGAATTCAGAAGAACTGAACTTTAGGTCTGACTCTCAGCTGCCTAATTTCTGTCTGACCTTTAGCAAGTACTGTAACTTCTCCAAGTTATGGTGCTTCAAAGCACTTGGAGTCAGCAGCATGGAAAGAGCCTGGACTTCAGAGGCAGAAAGACCTCAGTTCAAATCCTCCCTCTGACACTAGCTGTATGACCCTGGGCAAGTCACATCTCTTAACTTCTTTATCTCCAAAGTGGCCTTAACTTCATAGTACCCATGCTTTCACGTAGTTATTGTGAGATTCAAGTGAAATAATGTTCATAAAGCATTTTGCAAAAGTTTTGCCCTATAGAAATGCCCCTATCATTGTTATCTGTCAAAGGAGGCTAATACCTATTTTGCCTACTTCCTAGGTTGCTTTGAGAGTTGCCTTGAGTATAATAGGTACTTGGCAAATGTTTGTTCAATTAAATCTATTAAATCAAATGAGAAATGGATCTGAAAGCACTTTTCAAACTATAAATGATTGTTCAAATACAAGGGATTATTGTTTGAATGGGAAGGGAAAAAAGGGGAAGTCATTATAAAGCTATGAAGTTCCTTGTTCCTTGGAAAACTGATTGTTTTGGGTAAATGGGAAAAAGAAAAAAAAAACAACAGTCTTGTAGCCTTGTAGAATTTAGAGTAAGCCATACAGAAATCAGGGTCAGGCAGAAAGAATGGTAATGACATGAAAGAGCAGCCTGTCATGGTGGATGGAGAGCTGCCCAGGGAGCCAGGGAAGCCCCACCTCTGACCATACTGGCTGAGTAGCCCAGGGCAGGTCACCTAAACTAAGGCCCCATGGAAGGTGCCCCATCCCTGATTAAACCCTCATGCTCCGAGCAAATCTCTAACGCAAATGGTCCTGAGCCTGGGCCGCAGTCTGTGCTGATCCAGACTGAAGAAGGGAGTGCCCATATAAGGACAAAGTAGCATAATTTAAAATCAGCAGAATAACTCCAGCTGGGGGCTCATGTGATGCTTTTCTCTGGGGGTCTTCCATGTAATAGATAAAAAGGGAATGTTGAAAAGTGACTGGTATAGTCAGGGCCGATCTCTTGACCAGGCGTCCTCTCCATGCCTGTGCCTTGCCAGATGCCACCTCCGATGATTCCTGCCATCTGCCTTCTCTGCTTCTTCTGAATGGAGCTGGAAGAAGTTCCCTAATCCTGCTGGCTAGGTTAGGTCCATTGCAGATGTAGGATAGCTAATCTCAACTGGGCCCTTACTGTGGCAAAACACATCTTTTATTCATCTCTAATTGACTTTCTATTCCACTCCTCCCCAGAGGCTATTTCAAACTTTTTCTCCCTAAATCTTCCTCCGTTTCTCAGCTGAGGACCTCCCCTCCTTATTGAGAGAATAGAGGCTAATCTTCATGAGTTTTCCCTTTTCCTCTTTTAATAACGATAATTACATTGAGCTTTACAAACTTAAACACAGTCTCATTCTCTCACAACAAACTTGCAAAGTAGGTGCTATTGTTATCATCCCTGTTTTACAGATGAGAAAAATGAGGCACAGAGAGGTTTAAGTGGCTTGCCTGTTGTCACACAGCTAGTGTCTAAGAAAAGATTTGAACTCAAGTCTTCCTGAGTACAAGACTGATATTCTATCCGACATGCCACCTAGTTACCTTCATCTCCAAACCCCTCAGCATCATCCCCCACACTCTCTTTACTTCAGTCGGTATCAATGAGGCCACCCTTCACTTTGCTACTTTTACAGGTGCCCTTGATGTCATCTCTGTCTGTCTCTCCCTTCCCTCTCTCCCTCCCCCCTTCTCCCTTTCTGTCTCTTTCCTTCCCACCTTCTTCCCCTCCTTTCCTCCCTCAGTTCCTCTCTTCCCCTCCTTCCCACAGCTCTTTCTCTCTCTTCCTCTCCCTCCCTCTCCTTGTGTTTTCTCCAGTAACTTTCTATTGCCTCTAGGATAAAATAACAACTCTGTTGGCCATTTAAAGCTCGTCAAAACCTGAGCCCCAACCTATCCTTCCAGTCTCATCATAATTTACTCTACACCAGACTGTCATGTCCTCTGGTCCTGGCAGTGGCGTTCCATCTCCTGTTTCTGCTCTTCTCCCTCCTTATCTCCATCTTGTTGATTCCCTGCCTTCCAGACTCTGCTCCTATACATACTTAGAGATGATAGAATGGAAGCTTCTTGAGGGTAGAAGTTTCCCTTTTGTCTTTGTATCCTGAGTGCCTTGCTCCTAAAAGCTGCTTAATAATTGCATCTAGGATACTGAGCCGGCTGCTGGATTGGTGATTGCTTCTTTTTCACTGTGTTTTCTTCCTGCTTCTAGTACCTCCCAACCCTGGGCTACTCAAAGAGGATCCACTTGATGAATCCTATGGTCCCAGGATTGACAGGCAGTAAAATGAGCTCTTCAGAAGAGGTGGGTGTTCATCTGTGCCTCAATGGTGGCTATCGTTCTGGGGCAGAAAATGAGAGGGACTAGGAGGTGTTAAAAGAAAATAAATTTGGCAACCATGAATGCCTTTAAAGATAAAAAGGACCTTTGACGTCATTTAGTCCAGCCCCCCTGTTCAGTATCTGATTAGAGGTTGGGAAATACATGTGACTGTTTCTCATCCATACGCACACACATTTTTTGGTAAGTGACTAGCACGCAATCTTAATGCTTTTTTTCTCTAGTGTTGCAATGTTTCATGTGCTAGCCTGTTGCTCTCAACCCACCTGTCCTGTTTGGTGGCATTTACCATATCTTATCACTAAAAAGGGTGCTAGAGAGAGAAGGTTCTCTCTCCATGTCCATCTCCATGGCAAGTCCCCAAGGTCATGGAAAGGTGGGGGGGTGGGGGACCTGCCCTATGGGGCAAGCAGATCTCGTTTGAGAATCAGCTGGAATGTTCTCATTTTTCAACCCATCAAAAGGTTCTCTCTGCCCCATGGGTTATAGGAGTCCAAGATTGATCTTCTTGATCGGAAGGAGGATGTGAAAAAGAAACTGAAAAAAGCCTTCTGTGAGCCAGGGAATGTGGAAAACAACGGAGTCTTGGCCTTCATCAGACACGTGCTTTTCCCCCTCAAATCAGGTGAGAGGCTCAGCCATTGCCATTTCTGTTGAATGAAAGCAGTCCTCTGGCGCAGTCCCCCAGTGAAGTGGGGTGAGCAGGCCTGGAGGGAGCCCTGAGGTCAGGCTCCAGGTCCAGGAGGGACTGTGTGAGACCTCAGACAGCCCCCTTACCTTCTCTGGGTGGGACTTGCTTCTGCCACATGTAAAACGAGGTTCCTGGGACGTGGTTCTCCCCTGCTCCAGGTAGAAGGTTACCTCACTGATTGAACTGCCTCCCACTGGGGTCGTGCACTGCAGCAGCATGCAGCTTGTTGGTGTCCATGCTTGGGCCACACAGCCGCCTCAGGAGAACCCCCATTTTACAACAGTGGAGACTGAGGTTCCCCACAGTGAAGTGCCTGCCCAAGGTCATACGAGCTAGAATGAGGCCTCCAGACCCCTGGTCCCCTTTCTGCTACGTCCTGCCCTTGGGGGTGCTCAGGGCTATGACTTAGACATAGTCTCTCCTGCCTCCCTGCTGTGTCCCTGTCTCTGAATTAGGCACCACGTGGTGGGGTAGACACAGATGCCTGAGATGCAACTCCTGTAAGACTGAGTAATTAACTGTGCAGTTATTTGGCTCCAAGCTGGGGGTCAGCAACTGTCTGTGAGCCTCTTCTCTGTTTTGTAGAGTTTGTGATCCTTCGAGACGAGAAGTGGGGTGGCAATAAAACCTACACAGCTTACTCAGAGCTGGAAAAGGACTTTGCAGACCAGGTAATACCCACAGTGGAGCCCACCCGAGACCTTCTCCGCCCTCTCCACACTTGTCTCGCCTCCTTCCCTCTGGCCATCCTTTTCTGTCTCTGCTGGATCCTCATCCTGGCCACTTCGTCTAACCCTGCGGGTCTCCCAAGGCTCGGTCCTGGGTCCTCTTCCCTCCTTCTTCTGTTTCACTTGGTGGATCTCAGCAGTGCCCATCAGTTCTACCACCCTAATGTCTCTGCTGCCTGAGTCCAACTGTATCTCGCACTGAATGTCCCATAGACATCTTAAACTCAGCCTCTAAAACGAGTCCATTCTCTTTCCCACCAAACCTCCTCCTCATCCTAACTTCCCCATTACTGGTGAGAGCACTACCATCCCCCCAGTCACCAAGACTTTGTACTCGAGGTGTCACCCTAAGCTTCTCACTCTCACCCCCACCTCTCCCCCAGAGCCAGTCTTTTGTCATATCTTGTCATTTGTTCTGTTCTCAGCATCTCTCAAATATGCCCCATTCTCTCCTCGGACATTGGCATCAGTCTGGTGCAGAACCCTGTCATCTCTCGACTGGAACATTGAGATAGCTGCTGGTGGGTCTGCCTGCCTCAGGCATCCTATTCTCAGCAGTCAAAATGATCTTCCTAAAGTACAGGCCAGAGCATGTCACCCCCTACTCAGCACACACACACACTCTCTCCCCCCCCCCCAGCTGTTTCCCTCATTAGGTCATACATGAGCTCCTTGAGAGTGGGCAGTCTTTTGCCTCTCTTTGTATCCCCAGCACTTAGCACAGTGCCTGGCACTTAATGAATGCTTATTGACTGACTGTAGCCTGTACTAATCCCATCAGACTCCCTGCGTGGTGGTTCTCCACTTCTGCTGGGATAAAATACAGACTCTCCTTAGCTTGTCCTTTAAAGTCCTTCATGATTTTGCTCCAGGCTGCCCTTCCAGCATGCTGGGCCCCAAACTTAGCATCCCCTCCCTGCCTCTGTGCATCACACAGGCGTTCTGCCCACCTAGAGTGTCGTCTTGCAACTCTCACTTGGAGAATCCTGACCTTCCTTCAGGGTTCAGCCCACATGCTTGGTGACTCCAGGCATGCCCTCCTCATTTTTCTTAAAACCCCTTTTGTCTGATCTTTCCCCTGCCACCTTTTCTCCCTGCCTTAGCATGCTGTATACCCTAGTTGAACAAAAGCTTTTTGAGGGCAGGCATTGTTTCCATTGCTGTCTGTCTCCTCTGTGTCAAGCACAGTACCAGAGACACAGGAAATGCTTAGTAAGTGTTTCTTGATTTGAATTAAATAGGAGGGCCTATGGGAACCTGGTCCTGAACAGTTAATCTTTGCTCGTGAGATGTTTCCATCTCCAGATGACTCAGCACTGGAGAAACCCTTCAGTAGGATCAGTAGGAAGGGTCTGCTTTGAATCACCACCTCAGCGGCTTTGCCAGGGTTGTTGGTGGGTGTAGGAGTGTTAATTCAGGTCAGGACAGTGCCTGCCATGTCATAGACACTAAGACCTGGACCAGCAGTCTTTTGAGAGCCACGGACCTGAGGTGCAAAATCAAATTGAGTCAGCAGCACCATGAAATGTCCGTCTCCTCCCCCCGCCCTCCCCAGATTTGCCTTTCTCTTAAGCTTCCTCTTTGTATCTGCTCCACTGTCACCAAATCACTGGGCACAGTAGAGAATGGAGTCTCTTTAGACTGAATGAGGACATTTCCTATAGGAGGCCTCTCCTGATCTTGCCCAGCTACTGCAGCCCCCTCCCCCAAAATCACCTTCTGTTTCCTTTGTATGTATGTGTCATGGGTGCGCCCACATGTCTTTACATTGACATGTAAGCTCCGTGAGGACTGGGGATTTTTGTTTTTTGTCTTTGTATCCCCAGACATGTAATAGTAGGTGCTTAATAAATGCTTGTTGATTGGTTGAGAGTGTAGATATTAAGACAAATAAACGTAGTCTCTAAAAAATATTCAGTCTTTTAAAAATAAAATACAAACAGATGTGGATCATGGATGAAAAGGGGGAAGGTGTCGATGTCGCAAGATTCAGAATTGGATTTAATTAACGTGTGCTGTTGATAGTTAAATAGATTTCGGTTTCCCCACTGTTCCCTGTCTGCTTTTTGTTGTCTCAGTGGTTCTCTTCTCCTGTGACAGGTGGTACATCCTGGAGATCTGAAGAATTCAGTTGAAGTGGCCTTGAACAAATTACTGGACCCCATTCGAGAAAGGTTTAATGCCCCTGCATTGAAGAAACTGTCCAGTGCAGCTTACCCTGACCCAACAAAGCAGAGTAAGGCCAACTAGACTGAGTGATGAAGAGGAGGCCAGGAAGGGGCTTCCCTCCCTGGGATCCCAAGCAATCCAAAGAATGCCCCCATTACTTAGGTGGGGACTGAAGAGTCAGCTTTCATTTTTATGGAGTTGATGCTGATGAGATCATCTAGACCACAGTAAAACCAGCTCAGGAGCTCTCTGGTCACACAGGCATTAGATGTGTTACACCCATTTCTTCATGGAAAGGGGTGCTCACTGCCTTTAGGCCAGGGATTGGCAGCCTTCGGGTGGTAGATCATAGGATCTGAGAATTTCAAGCCAGAAGGGCCCTTTAGGATCGTCTGGGGGCCTGGCCTGCACATTGAGAAGAAGTGAGTTATTTAAAAGCACCCAGGTTACCATTTACTGTGGCACAGCTAGCTTTGGAACCCAAGTCTGATGACTCCAGATCTAATGCTCTTTTCTGCTCCATGATACTGGCTCTGTGTGAGATGACAGAACTGTGAAATCAGGAAAATGTCGCCCTGATTTTAAGCCGAGGGTAGCCCTTGGGGTCCTTGTGAGGTCACAGCCACACTCTTGATTGGCTTCACATCTTTATCCCGTCGTCCTCCCCAGAGCCAGCAGCCAAAGGCTGTGCCAAGAACTCAGAGCCGGAGGAGGTCATCCCGTCCCGGCTGGACATCCGTGTGGGGAAGGTGATCACTGTAGAGAAGGTATGTATTTTTCATTTTATCCAGGTGAGGCCAGCCAGGGTCAGAGTGGCCTTATTTCCATCTGGAGGAAATGGTGCCGAGAGAGGAAAGGCCTCCTTGGTAGCCATAGGGTGAGTCAGAATTCAGGGACTTGGTTCCCGGGCCAGGCTGTATCCGTCAGACCTGCCTCTCTACTTTACCGCCAGAGCCAGCCAGGGAAGCAGGGAGGAGGCTTGTTTACCTACTGAATCCAGTTCTCTGGGCTTCATCCGGACTTACATAGCATGCCTCGACTGGCTAAGGGCCTTATCTGGCACTGTCATTTTGCGCTTGCCTGGGGAGGGCAGCCCACAGAAGGGAGGTAAAAGAGAGAAAACCGTATTTCCCAGGGAGATCGAGAGGATTGCACAACTGAGGAATTAGGGCCTTTTGGTTTCTGGGGTTTTTTCTCCACAGCCAGCAGTTTCCTGCAGGGCACATTGGTTCTCAAGTGTCCATATTCATAGTTGGCATTGATCAGTATCCCTCCAGTGGACTTTATGTGGAGCCTCTCTCTCGTGGTTTTTAAAACCACAGTCACAAACCTAGACAAGCTGGGCATCTGGGTGCCTTTGGTTCAGGCAGCTTTTAGGCCAAGAGGCTTGAGCTCATCCCTTTCACTGGGCTCATCTCCCCCAGCAGCCCTCATCATATTTGAGGGGGGGTGTGCCCAGAGATCATTCTCTAAAGAATGATCTTCCCATGACCAGTGGGGCTGGAGCAGGGCACCAGTCTGACTTCTGGCACTTCTACCCTTCACCTCCTCGAGGTCTCCTTTTTAAAACAGGCCATGATGATCACAGTGCCTGTGGCTAGGGGCTGCCCTGCAACTCCGGGAGGCAGGCAGCATAGTGCAGAGACTGGGGTCTCCCCTTGGGTATTCAGAGAGACCCAGTGGGTGTTCAGGGAGGTCAGGACAGGGGCAGAGCTGGGATTCGGACCCAGGCCTGGATGCAAACTCTAGCCTTGGGGCAGCTAGGTGGTGCAGTGGATAGAGCTCCAGCCTTGGAGTCAGGAGGACCCGAGTTCAAATCTGGTCTCAGACCAGACACTTGACACTTAACTAACTGTGTGACCCTGGGCAAGTCACTTAACCCTGATTGCCTTATCAAAAAAAAAAAACACTCCAGCCTTGTTTCTAAAGGGTGAGACTTGGAGGTTAGACTAGCCTTGGACAATTTGGGGGCTGAGAGTTAGTGAATGTGTCGCTTTGCTCTTCTTGGGCCACCCTGGAGATGGGTCAGACCCCCAGAAGGACCCCTTGTGAGCCTTCATTCACTTGAACTTCTGCCTCCCTAGCACCCGGACGCAGACAGTCTGTACCTGGAGAAGATTGATGTTGGGGAGCCGGAGCTGCGGACAGTGGTGAGCGGCCTGGTTCAGTTTGTTCCCAAGGAGGAACTACAGGACAGACTTGTGGTGGTCCTGTGCAACTTGAAACCCCAAAAAATGAGAGGAGTGGAGTCACAAGGGATGCTTCTCTGTGCGTCCATGTAAGTGAGGGTTCCTGGGAAGACAAAGGCCATGCCCTCAAGAAGAGTAGAGGCAGGGAATGAGGAGCATGCATTCTTCCTGTATGGATTTATTACATTGTGAGTCAAGCAGAAGATGGGGCACTAGTTGGCAAGGCATGGTGAAACCTACATTTGGAAGACTCGGGGCACATGAGGTTGAAAGTTAGACTTGGTAATGAATTGCATCCCTCCTCCAAAGTGGAGCCATTCTGAGGTAGCATGGACCCTTTGGGTGAGCTTGTCCTCTCCCACTTCTAGCCTGATGGCAGCAGAGCATGATGAGTGGCCCGAGTCTCTGCAGGACTCTAGCCCCATTTGAGTCCAAGTAGCCGCCCACAACTGATGAGACTTTCCTGGGGGAGCCTTGGGGCGGCTGTAGAGCCTCCTCATCCTTTGTGCTGTTGTATGTCTTTTCAGGGATGGGGCAAAGCGCCAGGTGGAGCTCCTGGACCCTCCTTCCGGCTCTGCCCCTGGGGAGCGAGTGTTTGTGGAGGGCTATGAGAAGGGCCAGCCTGATGAGGAGCTCAAACCCAAGAAGAAAGTCTTTGAGAAGCTACAGGTAAGAAGAGCTGAGCCCCCTGCCCCACCTGCCAATCCAGTCCCTGCATTGTATAGACCCAGGCCAGCTCAGAGGCCAGGGCTGGCCTGCTGCTCCTGGCCACCTCTCTCTGAAGCATTTCTGGAAGCCCTGGGGTAGTAAGGGCACGTCTTTATCTCTCTCCGTTGGGCATCCTTCATTTGTCAGTGATGGCATAGACAGGCAAAGCCAGGCTCCCTGTTCGCTGATTATCTCACCATCACTTTCTATTTATTTATACCTTGGCTCCCCAGTGAGAGCCTAAGCTCCTTGAGGCCAAGTCTAGTGGCAGCAACTTGGAGTCAGGAAGACCCCATTTCCAGCCTCGCCTCAGATATGCGCTAGCTGTGTGACCCCGGGAAAGACACTTAACCTCTCATCTGTCTGCTTCATTCTCTTGAGTCATTGTGAGGAACAAATGACTTGTGATTTGAAGTAACATGTAAAGCGCCACAAAATGCTAGCTAACCATCGATATTAGAGCTACTGCGAGCACCTTACCCAGTCACTAAACACTCGTTAGTCATTGCTTGGTAGGATCATCCTGGTGTTTCGCATTGTCCCCAGGCTGACTTTAAAATCTCGTCGGAGTGCGTTGCGCAATGGAAGCAGACCAACTTCATGACCAAGCTGGGCTGCATCTCTTGTAAAACACTGAAGGGAGGAAGCATCGGCTAACTGCAGGGTTGTCCTCCTCCGCCCTCCCACCCCTCTCCCAAGCTGCTCCCGGTCTTGGTGAGCCTGCCTATCTCCAGGCCACCAGGTCATCCAAGGTTGTCTCCAACAGACTAATGCTAAGTATGTGCCCCTGAGCAGATGTGGAGGCTGTGAGAGGCTGCCTCCCAATGTCTGCTGAGGATGCAGGAACACTGAGTGAGGGGGGCTGAAGGAGGCGACAACTCCGGCTTCCTCTGTGGCGACTGACTTAGGAACTCTTTTCCCAAAAAATCCAGTTTCAGTGTAATTGGGGGAGGGGGGAAGTATGCTGTAATGGTTCAGATTGGAAAACGATCTGTTCCTCAGCTTTCCAGTGTGGATCCGGCAGCTGTGCTCCAGGGGCTGAGCCTCTGGCTGGAGCCCAGTGCCAGGAACGGGCTAATTACAGCTTCTCAGGGAGTTGTGGGGTTTGGGAAAGCAAATATCGTTCAATGTTAGGGCTCCCCAAAGGACGGAAGCAAAGAACCTGGTTTTGTCCTATCTGCCTGGCCCTTTTGCAGTCTTCTACCAAGACTCCCTGAGTGATGCCAGGGAAACTCTTCATCCTGCCCAGCTCTCCCCACACCCTAAACCAGGTGTGTATATTATTAGCATCACACCATGGGGGGAGGGGGGTCCTTTTTAAGGAGGGTGGGAAGTAACTTCATAATCTGAATCATCATCGTAAATCAAAATAAAGCGTCTGACTGAAAGCGCCCAAGTGTGGTGTTTTGGGGGGATGGAAGCAATATAGTTGCTACAGGGAGCCACCATCTGCCTACCCCAGGTTCTGCAGCCCTTCCCTAGCATGGCCTAGCCCCAGCCCCAGTGACATGAACCCTACCCAGGCGGGTGTGTCTGAGCCACCTCCTGCCGTGCTAATGGCTTCCAACTCCAGCAGAGACTAAAGGGAAGGTGGGGGGGGGGGAGCGGACCGAGTCTGTTGATACAGCCACTGAGGTTGGCAGCACACTGGCCTCGGAAGGGGATGGCATAGAGGCCAGCTTCTGCTGAGATTGGAGTCCATACCCTGACAACTCTCCCCGAACTTCTAAAGGGGGCAGCAGGAGCTAGGGCCCCTCAGCTGATCCAAGTCATCTAGCCCCCATCAAGGAAGAAGAGGCAGCAACAACAATTCAGCTTTAATCATATAATTAACATATTTTAACCAAAACAGACAGAGTTTTTCATTGTATCTCACTTAGACTTTTCAAGGTTGAGGGCTGAGGTCTTCTGGGGTATTGGGGTGGGTTTGTGTTTTTTTTTCTCTTTTTTTTTTTTTTGGCTTTTTCAACAATCAAAGTGAGGTCAATGTTTAAAGAAATATATATATTTCTCTATATCTAACATTTCTATAGAACAATAAAAATCAGAGGCTTTTGGTCTCAGTGCTAGGTCCAGCTTGGTTCCCCAAGGGGATAAGGCAGGGACTTGCCCCTTCCCTTCCTTTCCCCCCCTTCTTGGTCCCCACTGCCCTGCTCTCTGTCCAACCAGGACAGGGTGGGTGAGAGCTGAGCATTCTCAGAAGCGCCCTCACAAGAAGGGACAGGACTCCAGTAACTAAGCACGGAGGGTCAAGCGTGTGAGTTTCAAACGGGCAAAAGGAAGCTCTCCCTAACCTCAGTGGTTCGGACACGGCCCCTCAAGCTTACTTTCACATCCGATTCTATCAAGGATGTGGGCACAGTTCGGCACAGTATGTCCAGTGGTTATCGATTTCTCTCTTTATTCTTTGTGACGGCCAGTAGTGAGATTGGGTGTCAGATGACCCACAGGAAGAGAAGGGCATTGGTACGGAGTCAGGCTCCCCAGTCGTCCCTTTAAGAGGCTTGGGCCCCAGCCTAGCCAAGTTCAGCAAACACTACCCAGGACCAAATGATAACAGCCCTGGGTGGGGGGGGGCGGGGGAGAAGAGAGGAAAGAGGTGGCCAATGGCTACCTAGTGTCTGGTGGTAGTAGCAAGGCCTCTGTGAGGCAGAGTCGCAGGGACCATCCCTCCAGTAGAGAAAAGCCCTTCCCACTCCCTGTCCAAAGTGCAATCAGCTCTACCTCGCCATATCCCCAGCCACTTCTGAAATGGTTTCAAATCTATCTAAATAGCAGGTTACTCTGAAAGATTTACTAACCTGAAAACAGGTTCAAGAGGGTTTTGATCAAATCTGTGGTCAGTGAGATTTAGACCAGGTTATTTAAGAGAAATCTAAGGTTGCTGAAGGGCATTCCTAACTTTTGGAGGCTGCAATCATAGATCATTCCCATATTCTCCCACTATTGTGGCTGCCCAAAAAAAAAAAAAGTGAATCCCAGGCCAGTTGGACCAAGGGAAAGCCCAGAGAGGTATTCGTATTTTTAGAATAGTCCAAGGATGTTTCTGGCATGTGTGACTGACCTCCCAATCAGCCTCTGCCATTGCCTGAATGAGCATAAATGGTGCCAAGGTGGATCCAAAGGGTGAAATCCCACAGAATGGGGGGAAGGAGGAAGTGGAAAAGAAGAGAGTACATATAAGGGCTAAGTACAGTGGCAAAAGACATCCCTCCTCTATGCCCTCCACAGCCTCTAGGTAGTGAGTGGGTGAACTGAAAGGGGTGAAGACAAAAAACCAGTCCCTGTGTCTAGCTTAAATCTCCTTCCCCAGCAAAGGAAAGAAAAGCCCATCAGCTCAGAGAGCGGCGAGGAATCTTGGCCTCAAGGAGCCGAGAAGAGCAGCATCTGGAAAAGCCAGAGCCACTACCAAGTACAACTTTTGTCCTACTCATTCTGGCGGTCAATTTCTGATGCCCTGAAAGGGAGTGGGGAGAAGTCCCTTCGTCCTGGCCTAGGGTCCCATTGGCACTATCCCCCACTATTGATGGAAGCACCTGCTGGGAGCAGCCAAGTTGGGAAATAATAGGGAGGCTTGTGAAAAGGATGGGCACAGGAGTTCATCCCTCTCCTCCCCATTTGTGCTTTGTCCATGCCTCCAAAGGCCAGGGACTACTACCCTGCCCACCTGTTCCCCTTCTGAAACCTCAAGACCCAAAAGAATGGGGCACACCAGACCCCCATGCCAGTGTGAGAAGGCTAGCCAAAGACCCAGAGAGTGAGAACCACTGCCATGTAAACAGGAGCCTTGTGGAAAGGAGGCAGGCCACGAGGGGCAGGTCCACTGGTGAGGTGGTGACTGGCAGGATGGAAGGCCAGCCACCTGCCCTGGAAGATGGACGGGCAGCTGTCTTTGAAAAGTGCTTTGATTTGAAACTATTATTATGTGCTTGATTACAGGACTAATTATCCCAGAAATTGGATGGGGTGGGAGGGTAAGGTACAGGAGAAAGAAGAGAAAATTTTTTCAACAGAAAAGAACAAAAACAAAAATCCCAGGGAGCTCTGGACCAGGCTCTAGCCTCTTTAGGGCCAGGGCTTTGGGACCAGCAAACTTCACTCCCCCTTCCCATCATCTGTCCTTCCTCAGCTAAGCCAGGATAAGGTTGGAGATGGAGATGTGGTGACTGTGGGAGTGTCCATTTTTCTGTAAAAAGGCAAAAGAAAACTGCCTAACTTGGTGAGGAAAGGTGCCCTCACCAGGTTTGCATAAATATCAAAGGCCGTGGAGGCTAAGGCTGAATTCTTCCTTTGTATTAAGTTAAGCGTCTCTCCAGTTCTCCCCATGTTCTCATGCTTCGACCTGCCCAGGTCCCTGAGAGATTGTGTTCTTAGGATGGGTCAGTAGTACCAGAGCGCTGTTCCCTCAGGTCAGACCAGCTCATTCTGTTTTTCTGTGAAAAGGAGAGGGAGTGACCTGTTAGATGAGGGGAGGTCCAAGGATCTGAAGAGCCCAGCTATATGCACAAGACAATGAGGATGGTTAAGAAAGGCCCTGGCCTGTATTTATGGAGGACCCCCCCCCACTACTGTCCCATCCCCATTGCCCATTGCTAACACTCAGTGGCCCCCTCAGGTGGAAGGGGCTGGCTACTCTGAGAGGTGGAGAGGTCTCACCCCTGAATGTCTTCAAGTGGAGGAAGGGAGGAAACAGGAATTTATTAAGTATCTGCTGTGTGCCAGGAACTGTGCTAAGCACTTTACAACTATTATCTCCTTTGACCCTCACAACCTGGGAAGTAGGTGCTGTTATTATCCTCATTTTACAGATGATAAAACTGAGGCAGATATAAGTTAAGTGACTTACACCCAGATCACAGTGCTAGTACACGCCTGAGGTCTCATTTGAACACGAGTCTTTCTGACTCTAGGCCTAGCACTCTTATCTACATGACCCACCCAGCTGCCAATGGTACCACCAGGGCTTTGTCAGAGATGGCATTGTCAGAGATGTTGTGGAGGAACATTTGGCTCAGGCCTAGAGGACCTCTGGGGTCCCTTCTTAGCTCCAAGCTGCCATCAATCTTTATCCTTCCCCCTCCCCAAGATGCCTATGATGTATCCTCTGCTCCACATCACCTCTATCCCATTCTGGAACCATGAGGAGTTGGGAGTAAAACTCAGACCCTTCAAGGGTTCATTTGGTGTGTAAGTCAGTTCTGTCATGACCCCGGCTCTCCTGAAAACATCAAGGGAAGCCCAGGGCCTGACTGAATGCAAAGAACACTGGACTCCCCAAGACCCGAGTTCAACAAGCGCTGGACGACTGGGGGCGAACGGCTAACAACAGAGCCTCAAGGTCCTCATCTGGAAATGAGTGATGACCCCCTCTGCACTACGGGCCTCGCTGGACGGTTGGGAAGAAGGCGCTGCTAATCCTCAAAGTGCTTACAGGATGAAAGAGGCACTGCAGTTACTAGGGCATAAGGTTGTACTGGGTCAGCAGGGAGGGAGCTCTTGACACAGCCCCCAGGCCCACTTCCCCACACCCCACCCCCACCCCCGCCCCAGGTACCTGAGGCAGCAGGACTCAGAGGCTGCAGCTCCAGGCCCGCCAGCTGCACAGTGCCTCCATTCTCCGCTAGCTCTCGCTTAGTCCTGTCCTCAAAGTGGGAATGCCCATTGGCAGGGGAGGCCGAGCGGCTCTCAGCCTGCTTGATGCCAGGAGAACCAGATGGAGGGACCCCCACTGAAGGCTTCCGGGCCACCGGCGGGGCAGACTTGCTGGGCTTCCTCTGGGCCTGTGGCCCCCGCTGCCCAGAGAAGGTCCGAAGCTCTGCCACCAGGTTCCGCTGCAGGTCAGCCTGGGCCTCAGGAGAGACAGGCCGCTCCAGCTGCAGCTTCTTGGCACCCTTGGAGAAGATGAAGCTGGCGGTGGAGGCAGGGGACTGTGGCCGTGGTAACGTGGCCTCTGGCTCAGGTGGGCCATTGGGTCGAGGACCAAGGGGGCCTTCGATGGAGGCCAGGCTGGAGACCTTGAGGCGCATGGCAGCATGAAGCCCAGTGGAAGGCCAGGGTGCCTGGCCACTTCGCACGGAGAGTGCCTTCCGCAGTGGTTTCTGTGGGGCAGGGGCAGGGGCAGGGGAAGCTGGGATCTGGGAGGCCGGCAGAGTTGGGGAAGCAACAGAGCGTAGCCGCACCGTCTGCAACAAGGAGGGCGTGACGATAGGGAGACTGGCATCTTCCTTGGGCACAGGGATGCTCTTACTGCGCCCCAAAGGCTCCCTGAATGGCTCTGCTGGCTTCCCAGAACTAGACTGAAGGCCTGGGGCTGGCAAGGGTGGAGGGATCGGCGGGGACCCAGGTGCAGGCAGGGGCTCAGACTGGGGTTGGCTTCGTGAGGAGACGGTGGCCAAGAAGGAGCTCGTGGTCTGAGCCTCAGGCTTGGCCACAGACTGAGGAGGAGATTCTAGAGGAACAGGAGGGGCCTGGACTGGAGCAAGAGGCTCAGCGGGGGTGGGGGATGGAGCTGGGGACTCTGGCCTAGCAGATGAGAAGAAGGCCTCATCTGGTGGAGGGAAATCAGCCATAGACAGGTCTTGTTCCTCTGGGGCAGGGGGAGGGGGAGGGGGCCAGCTGGGATCCTGGGGGGCCTCCCCATCAGAATTCAGGGGTGCTGAGGCTGGGGCCTGGGCAACTGCCTCCACTTTCTTAGCAGGAGGTGGGGGTGGGTGGTAAGATGGGGGAGGTGAAGGGGGAGGAGATCCCCCCTTGGGTGGTGTAGAAGATTCCCGATTAGATTCCACTGGGGTCACTGACCCCTGGATAGGAGAAGGAGCAGAATTAGAAACAGGGCTAGGAGTAGGTGTAGGGGTAGATGTAGGTGTAGGTGTAGATGTAGGTGTAGGTGCAGGTACAGGTACAGGTACAGTTGGAGTTGGGGTCTTAGGTTTTGAGGGTGGTGGAGAGAAAGGGGCTGGAACTTTAGGGTGAGGGGGAATGACAAACCTGTCAGCTGGATTGGTTGGGGGCAAGGTAGCATCCAGAGGCTGCACAGGGACAGCCTTATCTACAAGAGCTGGGTCACAGGATGAAACGGAGGAACAGAGGGAGGTGAGTGAGGAAGACACGGAGGCCCCAGGGGACCTCAGGGAGCATACTCGCTCGGGCTTTAGAGGCCTCGGTGACGGCTTGCCTGGGGAGGCAGGGGGCACCATCAGCCCCTTGGGAGGCAGTGTAGGGGTGCCACTTTGGCTGGAATAGCCACTAGAGGGTGAGAGGGTACGCTCAGGGGAGCCCACTAGGCGCTGGGAGGTGCTAGGAGACGGAGCTGGGACCTGGGCTCCAGGGGCCGTCTCCTCAGGCTCTCTGGCAGCAGGGAGCTGTGGCTGCTTTCGCTCTGGCTTGGGGGGCAGCCCGGGGGCACCATCAGCTGAGCCCCGCTGGTGAAGGGAGTAGGTCCGGCGGGGAGGTGCTGGTGCCCGTTTAAGCTTCCGCAGAGACACGCTCCTGGCTGACGAGTGTCCACTCCGAATGCTGGCAGTGTCTGACCCATCAGCCCTGCTGCTGGCTACACTGGGTGAAGCCTGCCCACTGCCTGTGGCCGTCGAAACCCCACTACCTGCTGTACTGCGGGGACTCTCTCGGCCGGTGGCACACCCCTCCTCGCGTGCCGGTAGCCCATCGACTCGGTCTTCCGAGCCCCCTTGTGACGACAGCGTCGATCCGTCGGACACAATTGTTTCTGTGGACTGCGAGTGGCTCCAGTTGTCACTGGAGGAGGAGGCATGACGGCTTCGGGGTCGGTAGGAAGAGGAGGAGGAGAAGCGCCCCAAGGAGCGGACAGAGGCTGGGCTGGCTGACATGAGGCTGCAGCGGCTCAGGGTGCGGAGGCTGCAGCGGCTTAGCGCTACCACATCCACGGTTGGTGGCAAGACCGCGTTCGGGATGATCTTGGAGAGGTAGGTGGCCTGGGGTGAGATGGACATGGCTGGGCTCAGGGGCTCTGGGGATCCTGCCCCACCGGTCATTCCCGGTACAGCTAGCGACTTGGGTCGGACCAGGGGGGACGACCGGGCCCCTGTCCTTCGGCCAACAAGGCTGTCATCACGGTAGACACGATCGATGTGGCGTTGTAAGGCAGCCTCGTCCCTAGACCCTGCTTCTAGTGCGACCAGTGACACGCGGACCCCAGGAACGCCACTCCCAGGGACCGCCAGCTGACCATCCACTGTGGGGATGTGGACCACTCCCTCTGCTGCACCATGCCCATTGGTGAGGTGAGCAGGAGGTCTGGGCACACCAGGTACATCATGCCCATTCCTTAGACCTGAAAATAGACAAAAAGAGGAGCCAGTCAGTGAGATATGGATCTTTTCCTCCTGCAGACTTAGCGTAGGGCAACAAAAATAGCACTAGACTTGGGGTCAGAAGACCGGGGTTCAAGATCTATCCCCAGTACAACTTAGCTGTGTGACTAACGAACGAGTCACTTTACGCTCTCTGAGCCCCTCTCACCTCTAAAAGCTAACGCCAGCCTGAACTCTTTCATAAGGCTCCTGTAATAAGCACTCTGTAAACCCTAAAAGATTCTAAAGAGAAGAGCCACACTTTCCTTTTCCCCCTAGCCTCCATCATCCCCCAGCCCTCCCCAGCCCACCCAGCAATGGCTCACCCAGCTCCTTCTGGACATGCTGTGGGAGCCCCAGCACGGTGCTCCGCCTTTCACGCCTTCGCCGGCCTGATTTCCCCGGTTTTGAGGGGAAGGAGTCATGCGGTCGGAAGGTGGAACCTGCGAGTGAGGGAATTAATGGAGGCATGAAAGGGTTGATGAAAATGCCATCACACACAGACAGGGGGCAGATGGTGGGACCCATGCCCATCCCCAGACAGGCACCTTTGCGCTGGATCATCTCCGAACGGACGGACAGGGCATCCTCAGTGGCTGTGCTCTCCATGGTAGACGCGGTGCTTTGGCTGCAGAAGGAAACGTTGTCATCCTCGGTGCCCATCTGGGATGACTGTGGGGGCAGAGAGAACAGAATCAGGACCCACCGCAGCTCGCTGCTTCTTCAGGATTCACAGCAGTTGCGGCCAGAATGAACCTAAGTTAGTTCCACTCCTTTATTCTGAAGATTAGGAAAGAGGACCAGAGGGAGGAAGAAACTCGCCCAAGGTGACCCAGGTGATCCACAGCAGAGTTTAAATGTGAGCGCAGGATCTCTGATTCTGACCAGCCGCTCCTCCCTAAGGCCTGGCCCCTGAGCGACCCTGCGGAGGTTTGGGGAGAACGGAGGGAATCCAGGCCAGGCTGGCTACCCCTTCCCTCTCCCCCCTCACCTTGAGGCTCTGACTGTCTCCATGGTCCCAGCAGTCCTTGTTCTGTTTCTGTTTTTCTGAAAGACAGGAAAAGAAGAACTATCCAAAACTCCAGCCTTTAATTCAGGGACCTTTTGATCTGAGGTGGACAAAAGGATGTAGCAGCCCTAACATCCTCCCATCCTACCATCAGGGCCTCCTGCCCCGGGATGTCCCCCTCCCCCCCCCCAAAAAAAAGCCAGGGGACCACAGAACTTAGAATGGAAGAGGCCGGAGAGATCCAACTTGCTCATTTGTTTTGTTTTGTTTTGTTTTGTTTTGGCTAGGCAATGGGGTTAAGCGACTTGCCCAGGGTGACACAGCTAATAAGTGTTATGTGTCTGAGGCCGCATTTGAACTCAGGTCCTCCTGAATCCAGGGCTAGCACTCTATCCACTGCGCCACCTAGCTGCCCCCCAACTTGCCCATTTTTACAGGTCCAGAGGAACTGGCCTTGGACATGGGCCACATCCTGCCACATCCCCTAGCCATCCTCTGCAGTCCAACTCAAATGCCACCTCCTCCCAGGAGCCTCTCCCTCAGATTTTCCATCACACTTTCTTTAGTAGCTTTCTCACGCACTTATCACATAAGACTGAATTGGTGTCTCCTTCCCTTCTAGGCTAAACATTGGTGACCCAGGGGGTTGTGATAGAAGAAAAGACTCAGCTGCATGGGGCCATGAGAGCACAGGGGGTTCAGAGCCCAGAGGGAGAATCGGGGGGGGGTCTGGTACCTTGGTGCTGCAGGGATCGAAGTCCTTCTTGAGCCTGAAAGTGCAGCTCCTCCAGGTGAGGAGGGCGGCTGCTGGGAAAGAAGACGTTGTCCTGATGGTCATCCGACGATGGCTGCTTGTTGTCTGCTTTGCTTGAGCCTGGGGACAAGGGGAGAGGAGGTCATAGGATCAGAGGTCTTGAACTGCGAGAGACCTCAGCGGTCATCTAGTACAACTCCCCTCATTTTGCAGATGAGGAAACTGAAGCCCAAGGAGAGGACAAGTGGCAGAGGCTGGACTCAGACCCAGATCCTCTAGCTAGAAATCACTTCTTTGCAGTGTGTGATGACGCTTCCTCTCACTGGCTGGTCAATTTCTAAAATAGAATATCTCCGTTTTCTCTCTTTTTTTTACAGGCAAGGAAAATGAGGCACAGAGAAGTGTTAAGTGACTTACCTAAGGATGTGTGGGTAAGAAGTAGCAAAGCAGGAATTTGAACGAGGGTCCTTAGACTCCAGGTGGTAAAGTGGAAAGCTGAGTCATGAGGGCACACAACTCCCCCCACCCCTCCTCACTGGGTGCAAAGAGCAGGGACTATCTTTTGCCTTTCTTTGCATCTCCATCTGATTAGCACAGTGCCTCAAACATAGGCAGCCCTTAATAAATGCTGCCTAACTGCCTGACTGGTCCCCAGGCAGATCCAGGCCTCCCCTCCAGCCAGGAGCAGAACAGAGAGCTGCTCCAGGGGAAGCTGCAGAGCGCCAGCTTCCTTCCACACCTGCTACCCCTCTACCTTTCTAGTCTCATCTCAGTGTTCCCCTCCATAGCTCTCCTTTGACAAAGAAGCTTCCTCCCCTTCCCTGCCCTCACCCAGGAGCACCTACATGTATGTGGATTGAGGGAGGGAACAGGGGCTTCCTAGGGAGGACTGAAAAGACTACCTTAAGTCTGCATGTTGGCCTCTGCCAAGGGTCTCTCCCAAGCTCCCTTTCTGCTGGACGGCCAAGCATCTGTGATTCTGTCCTCCACCTCTGTCACCCTACTTTGCTCCTGTTATTCCCTAGGCCTAGAATATCCTCCCTCCCAAAGGACAGGTAGTCAGGCAACAAACATTTATTAAGTTATTAAGGAAGTCAGGAAGGAAAGAAGGAAGGAAACATTTATTAAGCACTTAGTACATGCCAGGCACTAGGCTAAGGCTAAAGTTAGGAAAGAAAAGGACAAATGATTCCTGCTGTCATGGAGCTTACATTCTAAATTAGTTGGGTTTTTTTAGGCAATTGAGGTTAAGTGACTTGCCCAGGGTCACACAGCTAGTAAATGTCAAGTGTTTGGTCTGAGGCTGCATTTGAACTCAGGTCCTCCTGACTTCAGGGCTGGTGCTCTATCCACTGCGCCACCTAGCTGCCCCTGGAGCTTCCATTCTAACGGGAGTAGTAAATTCTTCCCTATCTTTAGGCGACCCAGTGGATCGAGCTCTGGACTTGGAGTCAGATATCAAGACAACCTGAATTCAAATTCAGCCTAAGACACTAGCTGTGTGACCCTGGACAAGTTACTTAACCCATCTGCCTCAGTTTCCTCAACTGTAAAATGAGGATAATAAAAGTATCCACCTCAAAGGGTCGTTGTGAAGATCAGATGAGCAAGCACAGTTCCTGGTACACATTAAGTGCTTAATAAATGCCTGTTTCCTTCCTTCCACAACCCAATGCAAGTGCCAATGCCTCCAAGATGCCTGGCCCCTCAGGTGTCATACTGCACTTTGTTTTGTATCTTTCTAGTTCCATTAAGAAAAAAACACCTGTGACCTCATTAGTAGAGGGGAGTCCTGATGAGGAATGTCCTCTCCCAATTCAGGTGGGCACCTTCTCTACCATTTAGAATCTCAGAGAGTTGCCTGAGCTGCTGGAAGGTTCAGTGACCTGCCCAGTCTCCACAGCCAATACATCACACTCGGACCCAGGTCTTTCTAAGTGTGAGAATGGCTCTCTACTACTCTATGCTGTCTTTCTCTAATGCACTTAGTCATGTAATACTGTGGATCGTTAAACTAACTGTATTCATTTGTGCCCTAACCACCACTAGACTGTGATCTCCATGGTACTGGGAGTACGGTGCTCCATAAAGAGCCCTACACACAGCAGGAGCTTGTTAAATGTTTCCTTTCAGTCCTTCATTAACCTATGTGGCAAAGGAGGGCAGGAAAGGAGATGGCTATTGGGGAGGGGGCTGGGAACCCCACTTTCCTTTACCCCAACCCAGACTGTCACTCTCTCCTGGGCTCAAGAAGCCTCAGATGTGAGGCTACCTCCCTTACAAGGCATCCTATCACAGACTCCTCCTCTAAGAGGGGTGGAGGGGCCTGCCGAATGCTGACACAATCCACTTGGTCAAGGGAAGTGGCCTCTGCCCCTTTAAATAGAATATACAACATAAGCAGCAAGGGGCAGATGGGTCATATGACTTTAGCTAAACCTTACAAAGGACTATTTAAAGAGGAAGAGTTCCCCCCACCACCCTCTCCCTGCTACCATGTAAGAACCTGATCCCCTCTGAACCTGTGGAAGAAGACCTGGTCACTAAGCAGGACACTGATGACCACCCCTCTATTTGAAGTGCTTGGAGATCCCCAAGCTCACTGGGAGGGACAAGGATACTAAAGGACTGGTCTATTTAGGACAACCCTACCTACCCCCATCAAAATGCTCAGAGACTCCCACACTCTCCAAAGGAAAGGTAGAGATTCATAGCTTCTCTGCTCCCACCCTGACTCTCCAAGACTTTTTTGAAGTTTACTCATATCACACACCCCACCTCACCTTAACTGTAAGGGGGAGCTCTAGGTTCTCCATTCTGCTTCCCACAATTCTCACTGAGTCACCAGGTAAGATGGTACCTGAGACCCAGACGTGAGTAACATGAGTACTCCCTCCCTTCTATCACCCCCTAACCTTCCCTCAAACAACTTTATCACAGATGATATCTACGACAATAAGGAACACAGAGAGAGGGTAAGTTACTTGCCCAGGGTCACAAGGTCATAGCATTATAAATGGGATGGTACAGATCAATTAACGCAATTTTCTCATCTTACAAAAGATGAACCTGAAGCCTAGAGAGGAGAATTATTTTGCCCAGGGTCACATAGGTAAGTTAAAGAGCTGAGATTCAAACCCAGGTCCTCTGACACCAAATCCTTTCAACCATGTCAAGTAGCAGGATTTGAACCCAGGTCTTTCTAATCCCAAGCCAAATCCTATCCACCCTGACAGTTAAGGAAGAAACTGAGGCCCAAAGAGGGGAAAGGCCTTTCCCAAGGTCATACAGGAAGAAGTTAGTGGCAGGATTAGAACCCAGGCATCCTGACTCTATAGTCAGGGCTCTTTCTTTGCACCAGCTCCCCAAACATCTTTTTGAGAATTCAGGGACTTCACCTGCCTCCCTAACTCAAATTCAACCAAAGTTAGCCCTCCCCTTTTCCCAGAGGCCTAAAATCTGAGCTTCAGACCCTGCAAAGGCTTGTTGCTCAAAGCTAGGAAAACCAATTCAGGGGAGAACCAGAACCCAAACCCAAGACCCCCGCCTGCAGACAGGTACCCTGTAGAAAATGGACTGGCAACTGGAGATAAACCCTGGACGGCCAACAGGCAGAGATCAGACAGGGAAGCCTTGGGGATACTGAGGTGGGCAGGGCAGAGGGTTAGAAGATTTCTTGGGGGGAGGGGTAGAGTGACTAGTCTGTTTCCTACTCCCCAGCTCCTCTCCTTCCATGCCCAGATGTGCCTGAACATACACACACACATACATATTCCCATACATAATCACACACAGATAGATACAATCCCATACAGCTCAATCTGCAAACCCACACCCACCCCGCCCCCCAACAGGGCGGTGTCCGGACAAAGGAAACCCTCCCTGGCTTGATGCAGGAGGAAGGGGAAAAACTCTGTCCCTCCTGTTTTCACCTATAGAAAATGGGGAGTGGGGGAGAAAGCCAGTGGGCCCCACATCCCCTCGTCATCTAATCAAGTCACCTTCTCCTGCCCTTCTGGCCACTATTTCCAGATTCTGCCCCAGGGGTTACAATCAGAGGGGCACCTCACCTCCCCTTTGGAGACCCCCAGGCTCACTGAGAGGGACAAGGATGCTAAAAGACCCTGTCTGCTTTGTACAGCCCCACCCCCATTCAAATGCTCAGGGGATCCTACACTTTCTATGGGAAGGGTAGGAATTCCAGAGAGATCCATCAACTTGGAGCTCGTACAAGCGCTTGGAGCTCCCCAGGGCGGGGCAGGGATGCTAGAGGACCCAGTCCACTCAGTGCTCACCCCACCCCACGCAGCCTGCTCCCCACTCACCCCTTTTCTTAAAGAGCCCGAGGAGCGAGGGGAGGTGCCGGCCCATAAACACAACCATGGCGGCGGCCGAGGGGATCCCGAGCCCCCCCGTCCCCCTAGGCTCTCCGGCCGCCCTTGCCTGTTGGAGCCGCTCCGCCTCCGTCCAGGCTTTGGCGAGGACTGGAGACTGAAACTGCGCCAGCTCCGAAGGGAGGGAGGGCGGCGACTCTGGGGCGGGGGGAGGGGCGGGCTGGCCGCCACTGCACCACCGGTTCCCGCCCCCTCGTCCCCTTCGGCGCTCCAGGCCAGTCCAGACACCAACCTCCCAGCCCCCAGGAGTGGATGCCCAGAAGCAGAGGGGGAGACAGATTGGAGTACCCTCAGTTCACCCCTATGGCCAAAAAAGGGGGGGGGACCCTAGTATTTTACAAGAAAGGGGACTTAGACTTAGAAGGATCCTCTACAGTAACTCTCATTTTTACAAAAGAGGAAACTGAGGCCCAGAAAGGGCAAAGGACATGTCCAAGGTCATACAGCTAGTGAATGACAGAGATGGAATTTAAACCAGGTCAGAGAATCCCAGGATATTCGAGTTGGAAGGGAGCTTAGAACTCATTTACTCCATTCCTTTGGGTTCTGTTTTGGTTTGTTTTACAAAAAAAGGCAGTGAAGCCCAGAAAGAAGAAAGGGCTTACCCAAAGGTCACTAGTTTAGAAAGTTGTAGACCCACAGAGGTCTCCTGGTGCTAGCCCAACTCATATCTGAACAGGAATCCCCAGAAGGGGGTCATCCCTCCTTCTGGTGAAAAGTCAAACC